AAGCTCTAGAAACAGAGCCCCACATAGATCAGGGATTGTGATCTTTCATAAACCTCATCTTATTTAACCCATGCAGGGAGATAGAGATTGTGACCCCCACTTAAAGATGAAAAAAGTGAGGATCAGAGAGGTTCTCTGCCTTACTCTTACTCAAGGGCCAGTATTTCAACTTCATGGCTCTTTATATATCCCTTCCTGTTCTCCTTGTCAGTTCTCCAAAAAACAATCTAAGAAGTTAAATCAAGAACACTCTATTGCTATAGATTGTGGGTATTTCCTCTGAGAAACAGTAATGCAAGGTAGTTAAAGTATTTTCCAACAAAAAAAGGATTCAGGGCAAATACTCTAAACTGCCATCTGTTTTCTCTGGGTCCAGTTGAGCGAGCTAGGGCGCATCCTTAGTCTCTTTATTTACACCATGTGAGCCCAATGGGATAGGCTCTATCCCACAACCCTCCAAGGCTGTGCCATAAAGGCTCCGAACCAATGGGCAATCCACCTGCACATGTGCTGCATTGGTTCCATAGAGTGTTTAAAAAAATTGAACCAACTTTATCAAACCCATAGATTTCACATAAAAATTTACACTTTACAACAATCAGAAGGTCTCTCAAACCCAGGCCCACCTTTATGGCAACATTCAGCCAGAAATTAGTGGTCCTGACTCCTTTTGCTGAGGCAGGAACTTGTGAGTTCCCCTCCAGCATTCTTGATTCTATTCATATACCAAGGCCCCCTGAAGCTGTAATTTTTTATTGTGTTTATATTATTGCTTTCCTTACAGTAGAGAAACATTTCTCCAAACCTTGTCTCTTTCAGCAGCTTGAATGATTGGTCTCCATTCTTCAGCCCTGCTTGTATCTACCCCTTGACAATGCTCTCTTCGTGGGTGAAGTACACTTCCCCAACCCTTGACTATTAGCTCAGCCATGTGCCTTGCTTTGGTCAATGAGGTGGCATGAAAATCACAGTGTCAGTTTAAGATTAGGCCTTATGAGACCTGAAATGTTTTTGCTTACCCTCTTGTGCCTCTGCTACTGTCATCAGAAGAGCATCCCCTGGGTAGCTGATGCCCCTTCCGGTGAATCTTAGAATGAACACATGTGGAACAGAGCTGCCCCGGCCACCCACAGACCTGCAGCGAGAAGCACACGCACCCACGCAAGCCCACCCTGGAGCAGCTGAGCCACTCAGTCAACCTGAAAATCCGTGAGAATAACTACTGACACTTCAAAGGCACTGAGTTTGGGGGCCATTTGCTACACAGCATCATTATGGCAAATGCTAACTGATACATATTTACAAACATAAAAGATAGGCTGAAAGAACCAGATATCATAATTTTTCTTACATGCAAACCTATTTCTTATTTATGTTACTAGCCAAGACCCAGAAGGCATTTGAGTTTGCAATTCCTGCCATAAAACCATAAACTTAAGAACTAAAGTTTGGGTTTATGAAATGTTTCTTAGCACGACTATATATCCAAATGGCCCAGTTTTTGCCTATTGCTGTTATGTCCTGGTTTGGACAATAAATAACATGGTCACTCTATCTACATGCAAATTTGTCTCCCATTTTCACACAAAGTGGTTGAATCTCTTCGATCTCTCTTTGGAGCCTGATCCAACAGCTATTATTGCTGTAGGCAGCACTCTACCTGAGATTTTTCTGGATGTAATACCTATTTGTAAAACCTATCTGGATGTAATACTTGGCTGAAATCATTAAGTCAGGGTGTCCAACCATTACAAAATACTGGTATAGAATAAATCAAACTTAGTAGGTGCCAATCCCACAGCCACCAACCAATCAACCAAACAGCCAACCAAACCAGATCCCAGTTCACTGGCACTTAAAGGCCTTATCAGGCTAACTTATAAACAGGAAGTACTTAAAACAACAGCAATATTAAAAAAATCAACTGCCCCTAGAAAGGAAAGTCCTGTCTTCAGAAGGCAGTAATTATTGCATCTGAGTATATCTGTTTAGCAATCCAGGAAAGTGGGAGTTTCACTCTCTATTAACCTTAACCAGAGACATTTTCATCAAAATTAATCATGATTACTTTTTATTGCATTTCAAATGCTGTCCTTTATTTGGGGTGGTCAGGAATGCAACTAAGCAATTCCAGACTGTGCTATCTTTTATGAATAGGTCTATGAGGTAGTTATCAAGGCCCCTTATAAAAATATTGCTATACAAAAGTTCATGAGCCAAAACCAGACACTAATTTCCATAACTAGATGTGTCCTTAGAAAAGAAAAAATTACTATATATAGATAAGACAGAAACTTTGATGCTCAATGCACATCAAAGCAGAACTGTATAAATACCCCTGCATATAATAAACAACACTTTTAAAAAATGTTTCTTTCACCTTTTCCTTGTTATTATAACAGTTAACCATTAACACTTATTTTGAGCATAACTTTTGCTAAGTACAATTCTAAATTTTTTTTATATGCATTGACTCCTTAATCCTCACCACAACTTTGGAATAGATACAATTATTATTCCCAATTTATAGATGAGGAAACTGAGGCTTAGGGAAGTTAAGTAATCCTTCCAAGGATGTTCAGCCAGTAAATTCTGAAGCTTGGAATGAATCGTAGGCATTCTAGCTCCAGAGTCAAAGAAAGGTAACGATAAACACTTACCTCACTGCCACCACGATCAAGCGGTCTGTTATGTTTTGTGCCCTGACTGTGTCTTGCTCTGTGCAACCTCCGTACCTCCCTGATACTTCTCCCGCCCGGAGGGCCTTCCCTACTGCGCTGTCCCTCCCATGGCAAACTCATTCAGCTCCAATCCTAGCTACTCCAAGAAAACTCTCTGCTATTCCACATTTTTCTTGCCTTCTTTTTTTAATTCTCCAGAACTCTCACCATCTAAAGATAGTCAGATCTGGGTTTGAGTCCTGACTCTGCCACTTATTGGCTAAGTAGTTGAGGGTGAGTTATTTAACCTCTCATAGCCTCTTTCTTCTCATATATCAAATGGGATAATAGTTAATCTACCCATAAAGTATATTAGCTGTAGGATTGCTGTGGTTTTACCTGCCCAGAATCCCTTCTGATGAGAACTCCTGTCTTTCTTGTGGGAGGTCACCTGTCCTCACTCTTAGCCCATGGGATTTGGGTGAGGCTAACCCATTTCCCCTAGGTACCAGCTGATCACATGATCTGATCCTGGCCTATCCAATTTATGCATTCTATCAGGCTTTGAACTTTTTCTAGAACTACTCAGAAAAACCCCTTCTCCTCAAAGAGGGTGACTGTACTCATAGAAGATAGGCTAGCTCCTGGTGGCCATTGCTGGCATCACTGTGGACATCCTTCCAGGGAATCAAGACAAGAAAGAGCAAAGCACACCTGTAAGGAGGATGGAGACAGATTCCTGATGCCATCGTTTGAATGTCTGAATGTAGTCAGGTCTGAAGTCCACCCTTGGCCTTTTCAGTTAATTGAGCCAATAGATTCCCTTTTTGGCTTAGTTCAGATTGTTGTTTTCCTATCACTTGCAACTAAGAGTCCTGACTAACCCAGGTGACATAAGAACTAAATGGCTGCTATAAAGTATGTAGCATAGTACCCAGCATATTGAAAAGTTCAATAAATGGTGCCTACTACTGTTACTGTTCCTCTACACTCATTTCTCGAAGGCAGGAAAACCTGGTGTCAGATCTACCTCCACCACTTACTAGGATCTCACTTTATAACTTTTCTGAGACTCTAGTTATACCCCATGTAAAATCAACAACGTTATTGTTAGGAATAAATGACAATATATCCCTGGCAAGGCAATAAAATGTTCTGCAAATTTGAATTATTATTGTCTCAGTCTGTAGATTCCAATATTTCATATGACTGATGGGGATACTAAGACCCAAACCCCTGGACTATGATTTGCCAAGAACATTTATGAAGCTATGGATTCAAATAAGCTACCAGTCCATTTTAAGGTGGTCCCAGGACTAAATAAAGGACCTGATGCTACTATTGTGCCATTCAAATCAGGCATTGATGCAAAGGGGCTTGATTGGCACCATAAAGGCACCTCCAGGACACAGAGAAAAAAGAAACTAATATTGACTAAGTAGCCTCCATGTGCCATGCTCTGTGCAAGGCATTTCCTTATATTTCCTACTCTGGAATAATTATTTATTTCTCTTATGGTCAATTAAAAAGATGAACTATGCGTACATATTGAAATTATCTAACTTTTTCTATCTCCAAGGAGGAAACCTAATATATAACTGGAGAAAGATGCTAATTAATAAGCAAAATTTAACATGAACTCCAGCCAAGTCGAACTTGAACTGTTCTCTTTAAAGGCAGACTGGAATAAATAAAGGAACTTCAAAGCAAATGCCCTGTTTTAGCTTGAATGTTTTATTGAGCACATGGGGAGTACTCCATTGCAAAAATAGGGATGGTTAATGAGGAAAAGTTGGTGTTTTCAGTCAGTTGGTTGGTTTCTGAGATACGGCCATCTATTCAGAGATAACTATATTCCACAGAAAAGACAAAATAATGATCTGTCTCAAAGCCTCAGAGTTTTGAAGAAAACAAAACCAGTTTTGTAAACTGTCTGAGATCAACTTAATGCATCCTTTTCCAAATACCTTCTATGATAACGTGCACAAATTTCCCTTCTACTAACACCAAAACAATAAAAAGGAAGACACTTTCATGTTTTAAGCTTCTTTCCAACTATATAAATGCAGCCCTTACCTCTTAAGGTATGATACAGGAACCAAGAGACTCTGTGCAGCATTAGTAGGCTCCACCACAATCAGCTTTTTTGGGGCACCATTTTGAAAATGATGCTCCATACGCAGAAAGACCTATTGGGTTCCCTGGGAGTACACTGTTAGTGCTAGACTCAGAGCAAAGGCAAGTTCACCATCTCTGTGCATGTTTTCCCACAGCAATAAGTACATTTCTAAGAGAGTCAATCTCCAAATCTTTAGGGATTAAGGAGAACACTGGGCTCACCTGTAGATGCTGCGAGTTGTCAGCCATGCTATCTTCTCGCCTGCGAACTTCTTCCAGTAACTGGGCATTCTTCTTCTTTTCCAACTGTTGATTGTGCTTGAGGTTGGCCACCTTCTTATTCTGATCCTTCATGTGCCTGAGAAAAGTCGGCACAGCTTGGTTAAATTGAACCACTAGAAGATCATATGTTATCACATTAGAAGTATGAAGTATAGAATATCTAAGTACTATGTATAAAATATCTTGATATGGATTCAGGTAAAGTTGGGACCTCAGAATATTCCAATCATTCAACCACAAATATGTTTTGAGCACCCAGGTGCCAGGTGCTAGGATGGCACTGGGGCTGCAGTGGTGAATGAGACAGGTATAGTCTTCACCCACCTCATGGAGCTTGGAGTCCAGAGGGGAAGACAGACAAGTACCAAGGAGACACAACTTAGGTTTCCTAACGTTGAAGGAAATAAATAGCATGCTGTGAGAGATGATGATGTGTATTGCCTGTGTGAACAGGTGGTATAGTGGGGGAGATGACTTTAGTCACTGTGGCCAGTGAAGGCCTCCCTAAGGAGGCAAGACTGTGGATGAGACTTGAAGGATCCAGCCAAGAAAGCACCAGTGAAGGAGCTCCTCAGGTAGAAGGAACAGCAAGTGTAATTCCCAAAAGAACCCAACTGCTTCTCGGAACTGAAGGGCTGCAGTAAGGAAGGAGATGGGACTGAAAGGGAGGGAGGGCGTGGGGCACACAGGGCCCTGTGGTCTGTGATGTGGCATTTATTTTCTTCTAAGTGGCTGCTGTTCTAATTATTATTATTCTTTTGGATCATGTTCCTATTCTGAGATCATAATCCATTACTTTGATTTTAAAATAACAATTACAAGGCTCCAATCAAATACACTGTCATCACTTAGCTCAAACAGAATAACACTTTGGCTAATCATGTTAAATAAAGCCCCGGTGCTGGGAATAAAAGTTCTTAATGAATCTATATGATGTCAAAGTGCAAAATCATAAAGTGACCCAGTGAGTAAAAGACTAGGATAAAGGATGAGTTTAAAAGTGACAGGGGCGGGAGTGGGGCTAGTGACAGGCGAATGCGGACTATTTAACCGGCGGCGGGCGTTTAGCAAAACATTCCACAGATTTAGGAAACCATGTCCATGGCAGCTATTACAAATCTAATCCAACATGTGAGGAGGCAGGAGAGCAGTACCGGGGACTCAGGAGCAATGATTCCAAAAGAAGAGAGTGGTGGAGCAGAATGATTTGGGGTCCTTTCTAATCTCTTCATCCCCTCTCCCCAGCATTGCTAAGTCAGCCACTGTAACTGAGCCCTGGCTTCCAAAACAAGAGTACTGAGAATCAGTGCTCTTGTGGAAATATAAACGAGATGAGAACTAGATGATAAAGAGCAAACATGTCAAATTGAAATAATTAATAATCAAATGGAAGCCATTCTCAACAAGAAACTCTTATTTCCAGCCCTCATAAAATTATATACTCCCCTACTCCCTGCCACTCCAAGAAAATGATGTTCAAGAGAATTGTTTACTAAGCTGAATAATCTTCTATTTAGGAATCCCGCTCATAAAAATATTCCGAACACTTTGGTTCCTTATAAATATTTACAGAAGCAACTGAAGCTGCAATTTAAATATTCCCGATGACACTTATTAAGAGGATAGAAAGTGAGATAGAATAACCATCTCCTTAGTCATTACTTGGATTGGATAATTTTTGTCTGATATTTCCCAGTTTGTACTGGCTATAGTAACGTACACATATGAAACTACCAACTGTCTACAGGCTAATCTACTTTGAGAACATTATCTTTTGGTTACTATAAAGATGCTAAGAATGACCTCTTGCTTCCTAACTGAACAAGGATATAGTAGTGCCAAAGCCCACAGCAACCTGGGACAAGCACATATTCCAGTTCCTTAGGAAACTGGGTCAGTGCAGTAATAGGATGTGATGGAGAGGTAAGTATTACTAGTGAGATTGTTTAATTAGAGCCCTTTTTTATTTAAAAAAAACACTTTTTTGTAACTTGGAAGCAAACAATTAAATAAAACCAATCACAAAACATTTTTTCTCCCAAGTACCAGTGATAAATAAAATAGGTTATTATTGCAAACATTATTTGCATAAAGAACTCCCACAAGGTTCTCGGAGCAGTCCAAACATATTAGCCCTTACTTTCTGGGATACTGCAGTGTTTTCCAATCCAAAAAGAAAAAAAAAAAGCCTCCAAATCCATGCATCCCTTAAAGCCTTCCTGAATTAAGAGTAGTTAAGAAAAATGGGAAATTGAAGTTCAGACATTGTGATGGAGCCCTATCCTCAGCATTCTCCAACCACGCCTTCAAATACTGCCTTACTTATACAACAGTGAGTGGAAAAGAAAAGCTGGGTTTTGAAAGGCACTGCTTAGGATTTAGGCCAATTAGATTGATGTAAAGTAAGGTAATGAAATTGATGATCTCATCTTTGTTCCTGTGAACATCAAGAGATTACATATGCAGGGTACATACTCCTTTGCAGCAGTGCCATGCTTTTCAAATACGTTTCTCGTACTAGAACTCTTTCTTCTAATAAAAGCTTACCTGAAAGTCAAAAAGGGAAAGTAGAAGTGTTCTGCTAGAAGTAGGATAGAGGTAAGGAGGGGGATGGGGTGGGAACAGATGATCAGAGCCTCACCTACTAGACAATTCCTCTCTTAGGTGCCCTCAGGGAAGCCCTAAGGCTACCTGAAGCACAGGTTGACACAGCAGTTCATGGAGCAGGAGGAGAGAGAGGAAGGCGGGTAGAGAAGTCATGAAATTTAAAAATATGAGATTCCTTGGAGAAGAGAAAATACCCCACAGAAGCTCACTGGATGCTGACTGAGGGAACGACCGCAGTACGTTTTGCTAGTGATAATTTCATCATTTCCAAGAATAAAATCTGTAAGTGATCTATCAGTCCTTCTATCTTCCCCCATCTGCAGAAGAAAACCCACACTGCATAAATCATGTTAACCTCCGTACAGCTCTCACTTGTCTTTAAACTCAGGCAGAGCCCCCGGGGGTGCAGATTGCCAAGCCCTCTGGCAATACTGCCTCAGAAGGTGTCACTGATACCCACTTCCCAAACTCCCACCCGCCAGGCAACTCGGGCATTCCATGGCTCTGCCAGAAACTGACCTACTCCATGTTCAGAAAAAAAGTTTCTGGAGTGAAATTTTTCTCTGGGGAAACACTACTAAAAATATATCCAAGATACAAATTTTTCAAAAAGCAATTATGGGATGACGAGTGGATGGAGGTCAGTTGGAGAACACAGTGGTAGGGTCAGTTTTCAACATTCAACTTAAATTGACCAGTTTCATAAAGTAAGTCATGTCACTTTTCAAAAGTCAGCCATCATTAAGGAATTTGGATTAAATGACAAAAAAAATTCCAATAGGTATCAAGATCCACAATGACTGCCATATTAAGAATAAATGTCAGAGAGGACAGAATCCTGCTATTTTCACTAGAATAGTCCATTAAATTAAAATTAAAAAGTGTTCTCTAACTTGCTGGTGAGACAGCATCAGGCTTTGAGGCCTCTAGAATTACATAGCCATGAGTACAGGACAGAAGATGCATATGTTTCTCTCAGGGTGAGTGTACATTTGTACATAAAAGAGAAAATAAAAATTTCTTTTAAAATCTTAGCAGAAACAAGATGCCATTGTTTACCCATCTGCTCTCAAAAACTTTGAAGATTGATAACATCCGTTGTTGGAGAGGATACAAGAATCCAGCTCTCTCATATGTGGTCAGGAGAAGAGCAATTGACAAAAGCATTTTTGGAAACCAATTTGGCAGTATCCACCAAAGCATACACACCTTTTGCTCAAGTAAACCCACTTCTAGGAAAGCGGCCTACAAACATGCTTGCACATGTGCACAAAATATATATGTACAAAAATTTTTCATTGTAGCACTGTAAAAGTGAAAATTGGAAAACTGCCTAATCATCTGCAGAAGAAAGCAAGTACATTCATACCACGGAACCCTAAGCTATCTAAGAAGATTAAGGCAAAACTGAAGCATGGACATGGAAAAACCTTCAAGACATACTGTTAATCAAAAAAGAAAGCAGGTAGCAGAATAATACATAGAGTCTGATCTTATTTATGTTAAAATATAAAAGCCTATTTGGATGTACACATACACTCGTGCATGGAAATGGAAACTCCTGGAAATCCCATACCAGTCTGTAAACAATGGTTACCGCTGAGGAAGGGAATGGGATTGGAGAAGAGGGAGCTTTCACATGTTACCACCTGCATTTGTGTGTGGGTGTAAGTGAGGTATAAATACATACAATAAAATACACAGATATTAAGTGCACAAGTCAATGATTTTTGACCAATCAAAATATAAAGCTTTGCCATCACCCAGCCTCATTTCCCCTCCCCTGCCCAGAAGTAATCACTATTCTAACGTTTATCTACATGGATTCATTTTGTCTGTTCACGAACTTCATATACATAGAATCATATACTACATGCTCTTTTGTGCCTGACTTTTTCGACTCAGTGTAAGGTTTTTGAGATTCCTCCATATTATTATGTATAACTTCCATCTTATTGCTGAGTAGTATTACATTAACATGAATATACTACAGTTTGATTAGCTACTCCTTTGTTGAATGGATATTTGGACTGTTCCCAATTTTTCACTGTTAAGAATAAGATGGCAATGAACATTCTTGTACTAGTTTTCTTGTGGACATATGTTTTCATTTCTCTTGGATAAATAACTAGATGTCGGTTTAACTGGCAGTGTAAAATGGTACAACCCCCATGGAAGACAATTTCTGGGTTATATGAATCTTTGACAAGCAGCTTCAATGCAGGGTCTAGTAGCATAAACTCAGGAAGCAGGCTGCCTGGGCTCCCATCAGAAGTCAACTACTTTCTAGCTGTGTGACCATGGGCAAGTTTCTGACTTCTCTGTACTCACTTTCTTCACACATAAAGTAGGAATAACTGTGTCTAACTTGTAGAGCTATTGTGAAGAGCTGATGTATTAATACAGGTAAAATGCTTAGAACAGACGACAGCATGTTCCCTCCCTGTTTCACTCTTAGCTTACAATGTG